AGAGAATAGAAGTTAAACCCCGATTTTGGAGTAAACAAAGAAATAAATCACATCCAGTCTGTTTTTTTGTGAGGACTGTAATGTGAACCTAGTACTGAGCTGTAAGGAAAGGACTCAGACTTCAGGCATGTTGAAAAACACATACCTCAGCAAATCAAAACCACAGAGTCTGGCTAGTGCACTCACTGCCTATCTATAGGATGTATGTGTATCAAATACTATATGAACATAAAGAAAACTGACTGAATCCTATATGTAAATGCTTGTTAAAATTAATTTTAAAAAGCTGTTTTCTTACCTTATCTGATGATACCTTATCTGTACCAAGAAAACAACAAAACCACAGTATCACTGAGTGACATATTAAGGAATTTTTTTTCATTCTTATTCTATATTCCCCTCCTCTTCTCTTTGAGTGACTAACTCTTGCTGGATACAACTGTAAGGGAAGCTGGAAGAAGTCGGCCGAATGTCACCTTGGCCAAATGTCGTTCTTCATGAGTTAGCCAATGTTGACAAATTGTTTCACTGTGAAGTATATCACATTTGAAGCCAAAGATGCCCTTATTGGCATTGTAATCAGCAACCAACACTGGCTGATTTTTCCTTTACTTGCCCAGCGTCAATAAGGTCAGTTGAAGCTTCCCAATTGCTGCCGAGGTTGAGAAAATGTCACAATATGCGAAAGAAATCGCACACAGTTTAAAACGTATACTATGTCTAATTTCCATTCAAATACCCCTAAATAATGGATGAAATTAGCAGAAATAATATCGAAAAGTGGTGTCTATGTCACAACCCAGGCTAAAATATATTTTAGATTTAAAAGTTGTTTTTTTATTCCCAGGAGTGTGTCTAAAGGTAATGCCAACTTCTTCATTTCTTTAGTTTTATTTGCATTTTATTACAGATTCTAATTATGACTTATTCTTTATTTTCTCTACCATGGCAATTCTATAATCCATCCAGATCATTAGAAATTATGAACAAAGATGTTCATATCTTTGTGGTATAATGGGTTAGAACATTAAAATGATGATTTGAAATTGAATCTTATCAATAACTACATAAATTAAAATGCAACAGTGTGTTATTCCCTTCTCATACTGAAGTATTGGAACCAATAATAATAGATGTGCCTTTGGGCTATCAACACATTGCACTTAGCAGAGAACTGTTTAACCCTGGAACCCATTTAACAATTACATATTAAGAAACACACAATACATAAATCAGATGCAATGCTAATCACATGCTCTTTGATTTAGTCACTTTGATATCGGAAGCAACTAAAGCTTGTATTCATCGCAAGTGTGTTCAGCAAAGTGCACTTCAGCTAACAATGCCAGACACTTTATATCTGCTCCTGCTACGGAATAACAGGCAAAAAATGTGCTCATGAACATTAGGTGACCCTTCATCAATGTAATACAAAATGACACACTTCCCACAGAGAAGGGATAAATGAGACAGTAAATCAGACAATTTACACATCTCTCAGTAACAGTTTATTTATTCGATAGCTTTGGGGGCACTTGCCTGCAAAGCATTGCATTCAAGAAAACGTGCTAGGAGGAGAATAATGGGAAGAGAATCCGCTGAACAAGGTATAGAATACATCCAGTAGCGTTTCTTAGTACAATAAACTCCTGATAATTTGTCACCCCCAAGGGAAAAGTGATGAGTTATCAGGAGTGATGAGTTAGGCATATGAATCAATACAATATATGTTTAAACGTGGCTGGGATATTGACAGTGTGATGATTTAAGTGGTGGTGATAAGTTAAGACACGGTCTTGTTTCAGGAATTTACTATATGTTTAATTGTTGTTAAATGACAAGCCCCACGTGGATGTATAGCAATGGCTGACATCTTGCACAGATGTACATCACTGTAAAAAAATACAGTAAATCAAAGGCAGGGGAAAGCACACCATTAAACTGACATTATTTCTTGTTATTTACAGTGTGAGCTGGTAAAGAAGTGTTTCATAATTTTGAGATGCAGGTCAATTGAGATATTGATTCCTCTCTAGGCAATGAGGTGCACAGTTGAGTGAAGTAATGACATTAGATGGTTACGTTGGATTTCAAGAGAAAAATCAATGTTATCTTAGCCTCAAAGACCAGATGACCTTAAAATGTGTGAGCTTTTTGTTTTGAATCTGCTAAAGTATTTCCCACAAAACAAGGGTATTTACTGACTGTGCTAACCGTGATTTGCAGTATTAGGAGAGGAGAGAAGATGCAGATTAATCGATCATTTTCATCCTGTGCCTAAGCAGTGAGTGGCAGACTGTTAACCTTCAAGAGATGCGGTTTCTCACATGTTTAGAGCAGTGAAGTCAGATTCCCCCCCACCCCATCCAATCAATGCCTCCGTCTTTCATCAAGTTGACTATTTGAACCTCCCTCGAGTCCAAATGAATTGATGTAATATTGAACCTCTTCAGTTTGTATTGGTAAAACATGCTGACAGGGCAGTGGGAACTGATATGGTCAAGAAATAAACATGGGAACATTTTAATTTTTCCACCTGCAGCTGTGTCCACCATGTGCGTCAATATTTGCTGTGACATCCACTTTGGACAGCAGTGACAGATTGTCAATCCTCATTCTAGCACTTGGAGCTGTGTTCTTTGCGCTGAATGAACTCACATCGAAATAAGATTAAACTAAGATCAATGCCCTCAATAAGTTACACTTGCTGAATAAGTTCAATAAGTGACAGTATTTATGTCATGAATGACATCTTTAATTTTTTTACACGTAACAATTCACAAAATAATGAATTATTGATAATACAGCACTGCAATCAGCAGAACAATATTAAAGATTCAGTACCACATTTTTGTAACATACATGCAACAGATAATTTGTTAGATTCACCTACAGTATAGATGGCCGGGAGTAATTTATTTCATATTATTTCAATCGGCCGGCCGCGTTTCGCTCCCAAAAAATAAGAACAACGATAACCAACAATAACCCTTGCATTCGACGGAGCGCGCTTTTCGCGTCTCCTCGGCGTCTCAGAGCGCTTCGCGGACACAGACTGTAAAGCGAGCTGACCGCGCACTTAATAATAGTAATAATAATAATCCTTGCATTTGATATAGCGCTTTTCACGTCGGGAGGACGTCCCAAAGCGCTTCACAGAACACACTGTAAAGTGAATTGACTGTATATTTGTGGGCGAACGCGGCAGCCAATTGCGCACAGCAATGTCCCACAAACAGTCGTAGATTGAAAATGACCAATTTCTTATTGTTTTTGGTTTTGGAGGGATTATTATTAGGCTCTGTGTGGAGTAAGGAAACTTGCCCAAGGTTTCGCCCTCTGCCTGGAATTAAACTCAGGTCTCTCACCTGCGGGCGAAAAGCACGACGGATGGGCTTTACGGCACGTTTACGCGAAAGGCTTCGAGACACCCCACTCCCACTCCCCACTCCCCTCTCCCACTCCCCACTCCCCACTCCCCTCTCCCCACTCCCCACTCCCCTCTCTCCCACTCCCCACTCCCCTCTCCCACTCCCCACTCCCCACACCCCACTCCCATTCCCCTCTCCCACTCCCCTCTCCCACTCCCCACTCCCCTCTCCCACTCCCCTCTCCCACTCCCCACTCCCCTCTCCCCACTCCCTCTCCCACTCCCCCACTCCCTCTCCCACTCCCCACTCCCCTCTCCCACTCCCACTCCCCACTCCCACTCCCCACTCCCCTCTCCCCACTCCCACTCCCACTCCCACTCCCACTCCCCTCTCCCACTCCCCACTCCCACTCCCCACTCCCCTCTCCCCTCTCCCACTCCCCTCTCCCACTCCCCACTCCCCACTCCCACTCCCCTCTCCCCACTCCCCTCTCCCCTCTCCCACTCCCCACTCCCCACTCCCCACTCCCTACTCCCTCTCCCACTCCCATTCCCACTCCCCACTCCCACTCCCCTCTCCCACTCCCCTCTCCCTCTCCCACTCCCCTCTCCCACTCCCTCCCCTCTCCCTCTCCCCACTCCACTCCCACTCCCCACTCCCTCTCCCACTCTCCCACTCCCTCTCCCTCTCCCACTCCCTCTCCCACACCCCTCTCCCACTCCCCACTCCCACTCCCCACTCCCCTCTCCCACTCCCAACTCCCACTCCCCTCTCCCACTCCCCACACCCCACTCCCACTCCCCTCTCCCACTCCCCACTCCCCTCTCCCACTCCCACTCCCCACTCCCCTCTCCCACTCCCCTCTCCCACTCCCCACTCCCCTCTCCCCTCTCCCACTCCCCTCTCCCCTCTCCCACTCCCCTCTCCCACTCCCCACTCCCCTCTCCCCCACTCCCCTCTCCCACACCCCTCTCCCACTCCCCACTCCCCTCTCCCACTCCCCTCTCCCACTCCCCACTCCCCTCTCCCACTCCCCACTCCCTCTCCCCCACTCCCCTCTCCCACACCCCTCTCCCACTCCCCACTCCCCTCTCCCACTCCCCACTCCCCTCTCCCACTCCCCTCTCCCACTCCCCTCTCCCCTCTCCCCCTCTCCCACTCCCCTCTCCCACTCCCCTCTCCCCTCTCCCTCTCCCCTCTCCCCTCTCCCACTCCCCACTCCCCTCTCCCCTCTCCCCTCTCCCACTCCCCTCTCCCCTCTCCCCTCTCCCACTCCCCACTCCCCTCTCCCCTCTCCCCCTCTCTCCCTCTCCCTCTCCCCTCTCCCCCTCTCTCTCTCCTCTCCCCCTCTCCCACTCCCCCTCCCCCTCTCCCACTCCCCTCTCCCTCTCCCTCTCCCCTCTCCCACTCCCCTCTCCCCCTCTCCCACTCCCCTCTCCCCCTCTCCCACTCCCCACACCCCTCTCCCACTCCCCACTCCCCTCTCCCTCTCCCACTCCCCTCTCCCCTCTCCCACTCCCCTCTCCCCCTCTCCCACTCCCCTCTCCCCCTCTCCCACTCCCCAAGGCAATATTAACAATTGCAAAGATTGACGTGAGTGCTGTGGGGAAGGAGAAGTGGAAACAGTAGCAACTGATGCAGTTAATTCAGTGTGTGTGTGTGTGTGTGTGTGTGGCTCTGCAGTGACAGGGGGTAGGATTTGGCAAGTCCTGCAGAATTGGTTTCATTTTAAATAGCAGACGATCACGGGGTCGGGCTCTGCCCACCCCTGGAATTACCTTTGAACACCACAAGCCTCACATCTTCCCTCCTCCTCCTCCTCCTCCTCCACCACCACCACCACCACCATCCATCCATCCCACCAAATGATGTGAGCTGCGCTGGTTTAAAGAGCCATGGACGCGTCGGGAAGCCCAGAGCGAAACTTCACCATCGCATTTTAGCGGACAATTCGTTCAGACTTCAGCTACAGTGTTAGCTAAGTCTGGAAAACACCATCCGACCACAGTGCTTGGCATTTTCAGCCACTGTTTCCTTTTTTGGGGTTTTTTTTTCTCTCTCTAATAATATCTAATCATTACCATCGAAGAAAAAGAAACAGAAGAAAAAGAAAAGAAAAAGAAAAGAAAAAAAAAAAACACCTTACAACAAGGACCAGAAGTAAAAATCAGGCGGATCGAAACCCGGACGACGCACACCTGCGCAAAGTAACAAGACCGTACCCCCCACCCCCCACCTTTCTTGACCTACGAGATGGCTGGAATGAGAGGTAATTGGGAGTGAGTTCGCGTGAGTTATTATTTGCACGCCCGCTTCCGTTTCGAACCGTGGACTGGGTAACTTTTCTGGGGCATTATTTTAGCCTCGTTAAAAATATTTGCGATCCGCAAACCGCTCGCCGTGTGTTTCGCCAAATACGTATTTGCCGGTCGGTGCAGGTCTGATGTCTTGTAATTGTTTTCTTCCCCCCCCCACCCCTCCCTCTCTTTCTCTCTCTCTCTCTCTCTGGCAGCCTCTTTCGTGAGAATTAACACCTCCAACAGGTTTCTAATTTACCTGTGTCATGGATTGTCGACCTGGGTAAGTTGGTTTCGCACCTCATAGGTAGGGGACAGCTGTCATTTTGCTTTCTTGCCAACGATAACACTTGCTATTGATGTTCCGCCTTTCGTGACTTATAATGTCGTTTTTTTTTTTTTGGCGTGGTCAGCCGGGTGTCTGACACGTGCGGAAACCCAGCACCGTGCTTAAGAGTATCCAGACCAAGCTGAGAATTTCAATGCATCCCACCTACACACGGAAATCTCAAAGGTAGATTGTCGGAATGGAATGCTCCCCTTCTCCCTGGAGGGACACATCCTGCTTACCTAATTCTGGAAAGTGTTAGGCGCAGGTTGGCAAGAGCGTCGGAGGTCAGAATGTGTGTTGGTCTAACCATTTTATAATATAAGTGAACCTGAAGGTGACTACTTCCCAAGCTGCATTGTTTTTTTGTGGAGCAGACTGTCACCAAATGGTTGAAGCACCCAGAAGTGGCCAGGCCCCTGACTCCACAGGAGGTACCGTACAGGAATTGAGCATTGACTTCATTGGCAAGGATTAATACTGTATATGGGTTTGGTGCGAAAGCAGGAGAGAGGTGAAAATGGTCAGGGGGCTTGTCCTGCATATGAGCTCAAGCAAAAGGTTGCAAACAGTGGACTTTTCGTATTAGTTCCTGATAAAAACAGCGAATGATCTATCAATACAATGTCGGTAGTCTGTAGAGGTGTAGTGAGTGGAAGGTGAAAGGTGGGAAAAATAATGAATTCAGAGGGAAACAGGACTGGACAACTGTGGTGGAACAAAAAGAATATCAGCCAGTGTGTTGATTCGTGGAACTTGTTCACCTGACTAGATATGGCTCCAGTTCTTTTAGGTACACTGACACAGAACTGTTTACTCCCTGTTTTAAGAGAGCTCGACTCCTAGACAATCTGACATTATTGTGAAGTATACACCACGCATCATTGAAATCAAAAATTCCCTAAAGTATTCAAAACCAAAATCTTTCACTGGAAAACAGTATTAATCTTTTAATATTAACTTACAGGAACTTTCTAACTTCAAATAGCAAATTGGTCAATTCAATTACACAGTTTGACCCAAAAGAGAGTTTATCTTATGTTGATAGTAATAACGGATTCTCCCCCCAGATCTGACACAATCACTCACCTCTGATTGTGTACAGCACAGGATCCTCTGTGATTAAAATTCCTACCCTCCACTAAGTTATGCTAGTTGTCATGGGCACATCGTAACTCAAGGCAAGTCACTAGAAGTAAGCTAACTTTCTGCTAATTGCAGGAGTAAGCTCCTGCTGGAACATGTTTTTAAATAACCAAGTGACATTTAAAAACGGCACAGACCCAAGTGCGTGTCTATTTTATCTCACCTTGATATGCGTGACACCACAAGGTAAAGCAAATTGGTAAACAGATTGTTATCCCACTTTGTGTTAAAGTCCAAGGTGTTGAGGAAACAAGAATCTAATCAAAAAGAAGCTTTTCTGCCACTGTCTAGCAGGAGGTGACCCACTAAAAAGAATTCAGCCAGTGTGTTGAAAGTTTAGATTCTTGGCTCTTGCTGGCCTGACCAGATTTGGCTCCAGCTCCTTTAGGTACACTAACACAGAGCTATTTCGTCCATATTCTACGAGAGCTCGACTCCTAGACAGGCTGACATTATACAAATAGTGCCATGGGATTTTTAACATCCACTTGAAGGCAGACGGGACCGGTTTAAAGTCTCATCCAAAAGGCGGATTGTATATTACAATTTGTATATTCAAATGATACTGTAACAATTGTGCACTCATCCAGTACTTGGAATGCGTGAATACCACTTTAGTTTGCAATCACATTAAAAGTTAACAGCATATTTTCTAGGAGAGGCAGTAGCTATTCCACCATTAATATACCCAACAGTTTAGTCATGTTTCAATAAAATGAAGACAAAAACCTTTTGACAAGATATAGGAACAGGAAAAAAAATATTCACCATTAAGTCGTGTTCTTGTTCATTTTTTTCCTCTTTTTAGGCCTATCATTTTAGTCTGCCGTGGTATGAGGAGGATAAGAGGGTAAAACTCTTCCAGGCTGTTCAGTATCAAATGTATTTTAGTAACCTTTAATTTATAAATTGTGCTAAATGGATATTGTGTTTGTTACAGGGAGACAGGATGTGGCACTTTGCTGTGTCTATGTTTCTCATGAAGCTCTATGGCGATAGTCTCCTTCTGACTGCTGTCTATGGGCTGATAGTTGCAGGATCTGTCCTATTGTTGGGAGCTAGCATTGGAGATTGGGTGGACAAAACTGCAAGGCTTAAAGGTATGGTCTACATCGGTTACGTGTAAAACCTCTGTAGTATTCTTTAATTTTGTGCTGTACTTTTGAAAAATTCCACCTCTAGCTTTATTTCTTTGGAATTGTGTATGTCGCTTGTATAATAAAAAGATCAATTTTCTTTTTTCACTCTTTGTCTCGCTCTCTGGAATATTTAAGCAACAAACCATTCATTGCAAAAACACTGTAGGCTGCCTACATTTCGAAAGCTTTGAGTGGTTCACATGACTTAAAGGGCTTGCAGGAGAGTAGTTCAATTAAAATACTATTCAGATAAATGTATCACTTACCATCTAGCACATTCACGAGGGAGAATTATTAGACTATGTTAAAGGAATGGCAAACTCTGGCAGTGAGAAATGTAGAGGGCAAGAATCTTGGAGACATGGAGCAGACTTGGGGGAGATGTTAGAGAAATAGAGTAAGGCTGAGAAGGCCACTTTGATATAAAGATGTTTCAGGAAGTTATGTAGAGTTGGAAACGGGAACATGGACACAGAGAAGATTGGGCAATGTTAAATGGACATGGAGAATGATGGGGTAATCAAAGAAATACTACAGACTAGACCAGTTAGAGTTTACTGTTCTCTTTGAATTTATTTCATGGGTTATGGATGCTATAAAATCAAAAAAGGCAGTCACACCAAGCTTGCGCATTCCATATACCACAATTTGTGACTGCAAGAGAGAAATGGGAATTAGAAAACATCCAATCAACAGGAATTCCCCATTGTGGATTCAATTGTATAGTTCCATTCACTTGTCATTTCATTTCAGCATTAGTTTGTAAATCGTAGAATCTAATTAGTGCAAATATCAGACTATAGGCTCTTTAAAAGCCCTATTCATCAGAATGTTCTTGTGATTCTCTCAATGACAAGCACAACTCCAAACAAGATCCATATTTACATAACATTGTATTTAGCAATACTAAATGTAGCAGCGGATAGATTGAATTTAACAGTTAACACATATCAGTTAACAGACTGTCACTTGGCAGCTTTAACTTTATGAGGGCATGTCTGGAATATTCTGCCTTTTGGTTAAAAACACTGCAGTATATTTTCCTACTTGTGACCTGTGCTAACGCTGATGCTTATTAAGGGATGCACTGTTCAAATCGCACGTTTTATTCATCGGAATTCACTCGCCATATTATATGCTTGAGTCCTGAGAAAGAATGGCTACATAGTGAAATTATTTACTTAAAATGATCATTTCGCTGGCTAAGATCGGACTGGGAGAAAATTACTCTCTGCTATGGAGACAAATTACACCATGCCCTTTGGCCAATGGTTCACAATGCCCTGTTATTTTCTATTAAACATTTTGAGCAGCAGAGGATATAAATTGCGTTAATGGCTGCGCGTCTCGGAAACAAAATTCATACATTGGGGTCTTTTGTCGATTGACTAAATAAAAGCAATGATTTCCCATTCTGACATTTAGATGTTTTTTCCAGCGATCAGTGAAAAATAATATTGTTGGTGCCATTTTATCAAAGGGAAATCACCTCACCCCCAGCTCCTCCAAGGCTCTGCAGTTCAGCAATCCTGAAACTCTGCTCCTGATCTAGTGATCCAATGGCTCAGATCTAAAGTGCACACATGTGGACATTGGCTGAGGACAGCTTTGGGGTTAGCTGTTTATAGGCCCCATGTACTCCCTAATGTGGTCCAATAATGGTTTAACACTCACTGTCTGGCCTCCCAACTGATGAATGGCCACTTAGGAGCTGCTGCTGCGGCCAGGTCACCATATCCAAGGAAAAGCCAGTGACTTTTGTAAAATAGCTGAGGAGAAGAGAGGAGGAAATGGATGATAATCAATCACTGTTCAACACTGCCAAATGCCTTTTGCTTGGCTTAACTCCCAATTGCACCGTATTTCCTAAAGACACAAAGGGAACAAAATCTTTCCATAAATTTATTGTGTGGCACCACTTTCTTAGTACTTACCACTCAAGCAAACAATGTTCTTGCTTTCATTGTGTTTGCCAAAATTTAATTTCTTTCTTGCAAGCAAGAAAATTGTACCATGCGGCTTAGATAATCTAAAGAATCCAATGGCTGTAACTATAAAACAGTGCTTTTCTAAATAAGTACTTGTTATGTTGCGAGATACTTTATATTTGTTACTATGTGCTTACAATCACAAAAATATACTTACACTTAATAATAATAATGCATTTTCTAATTGAAAGCTTTATTTAGAGGTTCACAAAATTTTGAATTTCCAAACGCTTTGTGAACATTTATATTCCTTTCAGTTTACTGACTTTAATTCTTTTCTCTGGTTCCGGAGACAGTTGCTCAGACATCCCTGATTATCCAGAATGTCTCCGTCATCATTTGTGGCGTGAATCTTATGGTAGTTTTCCATTTTGATTGGGAGATTCGCACCATGTACAACGGCTGGCTACTTGTAAGTCTTTATTTCTTAGTCGTTCTTGGTGACCTGTTTCCTCTTTAAAATTTGCAATTGTGCCAATCCCTCATCAGAATAATAACATACAGTGAATGATACCAAACATTTATGCCCATTATTTCATCTTTCTCATCACTTTTCCTCAAACTGCTGCCTCCTGGTTGGGAACAATCCTACAAGGCCAGTAGCCACTTAGCACTTCACCCAAGCACTTCATTTCATGTGTGATCCCACTTGGGAAATGTCTGACCTTAGAGCTGATCCTGATACTTTTCTCCCCAATGTTCCATACACATGAGCTTCTCGTCAAGGGTCACTGGATAGTAATTGTAAGCAGGGACCCTGGCAGATTTTCCCCCTCTTTAGCAAAAGAGGCGCAATTGTACTCCGATGATTACCTTGAGCCAGGTGCGCGATAGAGGGGATAAGGGGGAGATTGCTAAATGCGCAGTCAAAGAGGGTTTTTAGAAGTGTTTTGAAAATGGCGAAAGAGGACATGAGGTGATATTTCCAGAGACAAAGCGGGGGAAAGTGGCAGAAAGCTCGCCAACGATCTTAGATAAGTGTGGGTGGGAAACGTGGAGGAGGCCTGAGTTAGCATAGTGGAGAGAATGGGCAGAGCAGGAGGATCATAGAAAACCTCAGAGTTAATGTGGAGCAAATACGTGAAAGCATTCGGAGGTCAGAACAAAGGTTAATCAGCTTGGGTATAGTGAGCCAGTGGCAATAATGAAATATCAAGCTTTGTAGTTGAAGTTCTTCAAACATATTAGTGTTTGTCTCAGGGACTTCCAGAGTTCCGAAACCCATGATTCTGATCATTAAAATTGTTTCTGATAATAAATGTATAATTTAAAAAAATGTTTTATTGGGTTGAAACAGCTTCAGTAAGACAATTGCCCTGTTTAATAACGAAGTAGATGTCAGTGTGGATTATAATAACTATGATCTGTCTAATGTTCTTGCAAACTAGCAGTCTCTATGATTATTGCACTGGTTTTAGGAATTCTTTTGTGGGTGGTTTTATTGGGTGATTGGTTTATTGCTGCCAGAAGTTTATTGCTTGCAATCAAGAAATCCGTGCTATGAAACTTTCCGTGTAATTTGGACTGTTAAAGACGGCAACAGGTATACAAATATGCCACGTTTATTTCAGTCACAAGTATAAGGGAGTAGCCCAAAAGGCATCATTGCTATGAATCATGAATCATGATACTTTGACACCGGGTTTGATTGTACATGTTGCTGATGATAACCCATAAGGCTGCCTTAAAACCTGTTATCCTTATCACACCTCTGCTCTCAAGCTGGATCTCATACAGGAGAGATTGCCCCGAGCAAAAGAAATAAAGCCCTGTTAACCCCTTAAAACCATTGATAGCAAATGCCAACCATGTGTGGCTAAGTCAGGTAAAGGCCCAGATTGTTAGTTAAATCCTGGAATAAGCAAATACTAAAGCATAAACTTAAAAAGAAGTACTAGAAAAATAAACTAAATTACATCAAAAGAACTCAGAACACAGTCAGGATACTTTGTTCTTTAAATTGAACATGTGGTTCTATTATCTTCTGTGTCCTCCCATGATATAAACAATGAAATAATATAATGGAAACGCTTACATTTAATGTGGTTCATTGTATCCAAATGTCTCAAATGCTTCACACATGAGTTAGTTTGAAGTGTAATGGCTGTTGCTGTGAACGTAAATACAGCAGCTAATCTGCACCACAAGCAGTAAAAGTTACCTGTTGAATTTAATTGAGGGAGGAATAACGGGTCAGGAAAAAAACTGCATTTCCTTAAAATAGTGTCACAGGATCTATAACAAAATATCAGAACAGGCAAAATGGGTCTATTGTTTTGATGTCTCATCTGAGTCCTCTCCATATCAAAGTGCATAGTCTATTTAATTTATCTGAGAATCTAATCCTTTTTTTTGTCACAATTCACAGACTCTTTCCTACATATCAGTCATATCCATGGCCAACATTGCGAATCTGGCAAGCACTGCTATGTCAATCACCATTCAGAGGGATTGGATCGTAGTAATTGCAGGTGGAGATAGCAACGTCCTCTCAGGTAAAGAGAACATACTTTAATATGCATTATTAGACGAATAGCATGCAACCAGGAGCTGAACAGCACTTGTGACCATTCCTGATGAATCTGGGGACATCTGAGAGATAACAAAGCAATAAAAAAGCGCATCAGCACGTAATAACTCATAGATACCAAATAGTAACTATGGTCAACGGAATCTTGTTAGGTATTAGGTATCCAGTGTTGGTTAGGTATTATTATCTAGCATGCTGGCAATTGTTATAACCTTATATGTCTGATTATCTGTTAATAAGTAAAACAAGCTATTGCTACCAATAACGTTTATTGCAGCACCATTTGATGTTTACTTTGCTTTGGGTCTCTCTTGTTTGTAACTTGCATCATTTTGTGAAATATCAATCAATTATTCTGCAAGTCAAGGCCTCAGTCTTTCACAGTAAATTTGCTTAACTGTAATGGTTGTTGACTTTTCCAGGAAAAGAGTAAAATGAATTATTTTGTTGAATCAGTATATTACATGTGTTGTAATGCCTGATTGATCCCTTTAGCAACATTTTTTAGCTATTATTTTTTGTCTTACTCTTTTAAGCTTCACTTGTAAACCTGGATATTAACATTTGCAGCAGCTTGAAATGGAATTATTCCACTACCCAATCAATTCAATTCAATCTGACAGGAGTTATGAGCTAAAATCTAATTATTACTAGTTGCATAGTGCTTCATAAAATACACCCAGGACACACAGTTACCAAAAGGCGATGCTGAAGTATGCATGTTTCCTTGCACTTGCTTGGATGTTCTGGATAAAACACAAAAGCCTCTTCTGAATCTTGAAATCAGAGTCAAATTCTACAAAATCAAATTGTAACTGTTAACACCATACACATGCTGAGCCTAAGTAACAAAGACCATCATGTCAGTTATGAAAAGCTTACTTATTAAAGGCCTTTATACAGGTGAGGCTAATCACGTGCATTATAACGGCATTTTCAGTTCAATCAACCAAAAATATTGTTTCCGTTGTCTCCCTCTATGGATAAGTTGAATCTAACCTCAGTTCTTCAACAAACTGTGAAGAATTAAGGTTAGATTCAGCTGATGGGAAACCACGAATCTTGTTGCACTCACAATTGTTAAGCACATTACTGCATGTTGGTATTAATGTCAGATGTTTTGTACAAGCAGAAACTCTACCCAACCAATATAAATTTTGTGGCCTGTCTTTCTATCCTCACAGTGATGAATGCCACCATTCGCATCATTGATCAGTTGACAAATATTGCGGCTCCGTTGGCAGTTGGCAATATAATGACATTTGGCTCCATTAAGATCGGCTGTGGTTTTATCGCTGGTTGGAATTTGTTCTCGATGTTCATGGAGTATTTTCTGCTGAGGAACATTTACCAAAAAACTCCTGCGCTGGCCATCAAAGGAGGTCAGAAGGCAGAGGAACAGGAGAAGGATTCACTGAACATACAAAGAGGTACTTGGGAAAGCTCAATAACATATCAATGACTAATGACTAGACAAAATTTGCCACACATGAACATCTCGATTCTTGGGTAGTTCATTGCTGCAAACTCTTCATGATTGTATGAGAGAAGGTTTGGAGGGGTGGAAGCTCATATAACTATATAACTAGCGTGGGCTAGTTGTGCCGAATGGTCTGTTTCCATGCGATATTTGGCTAATTTAACGTTGAGTTTCAATTTGATTCCCTTATTATGTCACACAACATTATGAAGCTTACTCGCTTGAATGCTGACAGTGCATATGTACAGAAGTTTTAAAACCTACACTTCTTAACATCTTAATGGAGAAAATGTTAGCGAAGGCAATTAATTATGTACATAGAATGTGAGAAAATTGTGAAATAATAGTAATAGCTAAACACTTTGAGTAGAAACTTCTTTTCTTAAAATAAGTGGGAAATGATGTCCTGGAATTTATAGCATATTACCGCTGGACTGATAATAGGATGCGCAAAAGGCATATTGTAAAAGGTTTGATCACTCCTTCCACCTAAGATGGTTTGAGAGTTACCGATAGTTATTGATGTGTGTTTCCAGATATTGATTTGAGGCAGATCAACACAGGTGAGAAACCAAAACCCACAAATCCGGCTGAAGCTGTCTATCTGATGAGTGAGAAACCCCAAGAAATTGAAAAACATGCAGAAAAAGAGCAGAGTGCCTGTGGCAAAGTTCGGGAGCATTTCCAGACATTCAAGAATGGTTGGAAGGCATATTACAATCAGTCAGTGTTTTTGGCAGGCCTGGCCCTTTCATTCCTCTACATGACTGTCCTTGGATTCGACTGCATTACCAGTGGATATGCCATCACCCAAGGTTTGAAAGAATATGTTGTCAGCATATTGATGGCAGTCTCTGCTATCGCTGGAATTACTGGATCAATTGGCTTCACGTGGGTTTCCCGAAAATGTGGCTTAATTCGCACAGGATTCATTTCTGGTGTCACTCAGTTATCCTGTCTGATTTTGAGTGTAGTTTCTGTCTTCATGCCTGGCAGTCCTTTGGATTTGTCCATCTCACCCTTTGACGGCTTCACCAATAGGTTTTTGGATGGAAATAATTTGACCAAATCTGTCCTCCCGACCACGGCGTCAGCACTCGGATTTGCCAACACAACAGCCACCCAGAGCGATGAGCACAGCTTCAGGCCAGAGTCTTATATCTCAGTGAGCTTGCTCTTTGCTGGAGTCATTGCAGCAAGAATTGGTAAGTTCAGAATCAGCTGAAAGTTTTAACCAGAGAGACATGTGACTCTTATACAGGCAGTTGCATCTTCAAAGAAAGTAATAAGGGGTTGGATTTTGATATGTTCATTCTTGGCAATAATATTTGTTTGAATGTACGATTTAATTTAATACAATTTAAACATAAATTTCAAATGAATGTGCAATGGGTGTCTTTTTGGTAGAGATTAAGTATTTACTCTTGATTGTCATGGTTCAGTGTACTTCATTCATAGTTTCTCTGTTATATAGTTTCGCCCACAAAATATACAGTCAATTCACTTTACAGTATGTTCTGTGATGCACTTTGAGATGTCTGGAAGACGTGATAAGGCGCTATGTCAAATGCAAGGATTATTATTATGGGTGGAATTGTCAACCGTGCATAACCATTAATCTTACAATACCTTTGTTTTAAGTAACATCAAGCTGTTCCACATACACTGGAAAAGCTGCTGATGACTTTTAATGATCTTTTCAGGCCTCTGGGCGTTCGACCTTACCGTGACACAACTCCTTCAAGAAAACGTGGCTGAATCGGAAAGAGGAATCGTTAACGGAGTCCAGAATTCCTTGAATTACCTCCTGGACCTGATGCATTTCATCATGGTGATATTAGCTCCAAATCCAGAAAGCTTTGGGCTTCTTGTACTCATCTCAGTTTCCTTTGTTGCCATGGGTCATGCAATGTATTTCAAGTTTGCTTATAAATCACTGAGAAGTCAGCTGTTTGCATGCACCTCCAAAGAGCTGACATCCCAGACCCCAAATCCCCAAACACCCGATTGTGAGGCAGTTAGCACCTGAGTAGCAATTAAAGAGATACTATCCCTCCTTATGTTTTGCATTTTATAACCATTAGTCTTGCATAGTCGCAATACCTACTGTTTAAGTAGCTTGTAGCCATCCCTTGTAGGATACATGATGGAGGTCTTCAAGTACTGCATTTACTTTAGTGCTTGTAGATTTATTTTCTGTTACATAGTGTGCTAAGCAATGATTTGCAAATACAGCTCATGAAAATGCCTTTATAATGCATGTTTCATACCTTCGTAGAGTCCTTTTGTAGACTCAGTGGTGTTCAACCTACTGTGAGACGTGCCATTACAAGTGCTCAGGTCTACTGTGGATGATTCTGGCCAGCAATGTTCCAACGCAACTAAATCTGACAAATTAAAGTCTTTGTTGTTGCAGAATTGGATATCGACCAAGTTGGAATATACAGCGTATTAAACCAAAGGGTTAAAGTTGCAGTTATTTTAGGCTGAGCATTTGCATATCTGTATTGTGCCACTAGAAAAATAAAGCTTTAACGTAGATCTTGATAGGACTTACTGCTACAATAGCTTCTCTGTTTTGCTTTCGACATTTAGTATTCTTTTGGTAGATTTTGAAGCATAAAAATCTCTGGACAGAGTTCTGTAGTTTTGGATCCAGCTGTAATTTGCCTTCTTATCTAAGGTGTAATTGGCAAGCAGACAGAGTCATGAAACTTAGCTTATTCCTAGCAATGGAGAGTGACTTAACAACCAGCCTCAACAATTGGCTGGAAACAGCACCGTTGTTTTTTAGGGGGATTCTTATTCTTTGGAATATTGCACAAAATGTTCTTGCCATAAACCACTTACTAACAGTCTGCCCCTTTTCCATCTCAGTTGACCAGACTGACTGTCAGAAGATTGCAGTCTCTAAATCATAGGCGATTCTCATAACATCAAGAAATCCTGCAGTGACAGATTAACACATCGTGTTATTTACTGATTCTGTAAGAAAGCAAAAGGCACTGGTCCCAAAAGCAGACAGGCAATTTGTGAACCAGATTGTGCAAACCTTCAAAATGCTGCAGTATATTAAGTGGATGTGGTATTGGTTTAGCTCAGTGGTGGCCAACGTTTATGGTCGGCCAATAAAATAAATGTTCTTGATTAAATGCTTCTTGATTTATGACATAAAATTCAATCAAGAAAGGCCTGGAAACGCATTGATTAATTGAACCCGGACCTACTCTAAACTAATGCGAATTTCGGGGTGGGATTGCTTCTTGACGATCCCATGGGCCGATTCTAGCCCTCGGGCCAAGGGTTGGCACCACTGGTTTAGCTTTTAAGTTTGGTTTTAAAATAATATTAAAAGGGATACAGTCTCTTTAACATCTATTCTATGCTATGAAACAGTACCTTTAATAGCATTTTTACATACTCGCTACTTCTTGGTGCTAATTTCATTACAAGGAAGTGTTTGGTAAACTGCCAGTAACATACTTCAAAGCAAAGTGGGGTTTTATATGTGATAACCTGTTCAAAACAATCGAAGGGAGACCGGTTTTTCCCAACCAAATTCTTTTTGATACCAAAATTGAAGGAGGTGCTTTAATAAATTTGTGATATTATAGGCAGGCGGGAAATTACTTGTGTCTTTTCTTGAACATTGCAGGGAAATGTGTACCTTAGGAAACAGTTGATGTGTTAAAGCTAAATTTAAATAGAAAAATGTGTTTAAAATCAATTTGTTACATTGTCTTATCTCTTGTTGGAATAAGGTGGATTCCCAAACATTCAAAAGGGATCTTTGCAAAAAAATGATAAACTGTTCTTGATAATCATGCTTCTTGACAATATCGCCTCAAAACAGTTGCCATAAATATGATTTTTTTAATATAAATGAGTACAGCGATACTGTGATTACTTACCCAGTGAACATTCGGGAAGCGCAAATATTTTACATGAGATATTCTTATTTCTCTAGTATCTGTCATAGTGGAACTTGAATGCGCTAGTGTCTAAGTTTGATCCCAGAATGTTAACCGAGTATTATAGCACATACGGTCCGAAATTAGCCAATTTCAAATCAGATAATATCGTATTTTGCGGTGAGCTCAATTGAAAGCCAACTTGGTATAATAACATGTTATGATTTGATTTTGCACAAAACATTGCAGAAACAAAGTGAATATCTAAATTTCCCGATTTGCATTAACAATTTTTTTTGGGCCAGCGTGTGTTTTTGTTTTGACAAGGTTCTGCATCGTGATTCAATTCGAAATTCAATTTCTAGATGAACCAAAGAGATGTATCAGCCAATGTTTTGAAATTGATTTTATCTTTTGCGACATTGTATTAATTTTAATGCCCCTGATACAGACTGAAAATTTTTAACAAAATGTTGTTGTGTGACGGTTGAACACTCCAAAGCTACGGTTCCTGAAATTACAAGCACTGTGGAAATAAATTGTTGCTAAAATAACATGCGTTGATTGTGGCAATGTCTTTCTGTTTGTTTTACTGAAACACCGCGAGCCATTCAAACTGCCTTCACCCTTACGAATTCTCTCCTTCTACCTCCGCGCTCTTTCCCCCTCCCTATTTGTTTTTAAATTCAGCCTAAAAATTTACCTTTTCGACAATGCCTTTGGTCACCTCCTCTCACCCCTTTCTCTTTTGCTCAGAGTCCCACATCGTCATTGGTAAAGTGCTCTGAGATGTTATCTTATATGAAGGGTACCTCATAAATGGACATTGTTGTGTTGGTGCAAAAACATGGTCATTTCATATCAGTCATTCCTTCCTTCGATATTACTGCACCATATGGATACTGACACTTGCATGAAGATTCTTCTGTAAGGCCTAGTTTCTGATCACTGAGATAATTGGGCCACAATGTCATATTTAAAAGAGAAGTAGATTTAGTTTAATTGTTATGTCATTTTAAATGATATGCGGGAAGATCTACTGCTATTTCACCGCTGTCTTTCAGTCCTGCCGTGCTCCTGTGCTATATATTTTTAATGCTGCAGTTTAGATGCAGTTATTTTGAGGGTATAACGCTCTGAATATCAGTTTAACACACTTACAATGGGAAATTCCTTTCATTAAAATGAAGTAAATGTAATGCAATAAAGAGCATCCACTCCCCTGGGGTAAAACCACTTATTTGGTGTCACAAACTGAAATAGTTTTCCAAAAACCTCTATCTCATTCCTAATATTTTTTTGCGCTGTTTCTGATATAATTGTATCATTTCTGCCCACATTTTGTACAATAGTTACTGCTTCTCTTTATATATATATATATGTAAACACTTCTGGTCATCTCAGGGAGGTTCCTTTCAGTATCCTATATTCAGTCACTATCATTTGCCTGTCTGAACTGAATTGTAGAGAGTGTTGTGCCGAGACTAGATCCCTACTTCCAGAGGTAACATTCTGACCCAATGTTCATTCTGAGTACAATTTTTGAAATCATGTAAATAAACTAGAAAGTGCCAACAACAGATACTGGTGCAGGTGCCCAAACAACAAATATTGATTCCCTTTCATTGCAAATATCAAAAAGTCACCGATGATCCGAATCTATCCGAAAGAGTAAAGTAACCCTACACACTGGGGAGAAGCTGACAATTCACTCACATCCTCTGATCACTGCATTCACAAAAACAAATCAACACACAGTCAGGATCCTGCTAACCAGGGCACAAAGCTTATTTTTTTAATAGTTATTAAAGGGTTGGCTCCACAAGGGCTACAATGGCCCTTTACGTCTATTGCAACAACCAGAAACTTTAAATTAAAAAAAACAGAGCTGAGCACCATTAATAACCATAAGAGTTAGGAGACTTGTCCCAGAATTTGAACCCGACTTATAATAATACAATATAATAATCCTTGCATTTGATATAGCACTTTTCACGCCTTCTTGATGTCTCAAAGCGCTTCACAGAATATGCTGTAAAGTGAATTGACTGTATATTTGTGGGCAAAACGCGGCAGCCAATTGCACACAGCAGCGTCCCACAAATAGTCGTGGATTGAAAATGACCAATTTATTATCGTTTTGTTTTTTGGAGGGATTATTATTAGGCGTGTGGAGTAAGGAAACTTGCCCAAGGTTTCGCCCTTCCTGGAATTGAACCAAGGTGTCTCCCTTGCAAGGCGAGTGCTCTGACCACTGAGCTACAGGACTCCACAGTGTCAATGACAATGTCCTCAGTTAATGTGTCCCTCAGACCTTTTTGAGTGTGATCTCTGAAATGGAAACAAAACTAGGAAATGCCAACAGAAAATTGTGGTGCAGGTTTACCAACAACAGACAAATACCAACAACATTGACGCCTGATCCTTTTGAAGTGACCCTGTAACCTTCAGCACACATGCTTCTGAGCAAGCTAACATTGCACCAATCATAAAAGCACACGTTTCGTTAGCTGCTTTGGATCTTCTACTGCACACACATTACCTGTGAGTTTTTTTCTGACGCCGCCTTCANTTTTTTCTCCCCAATTTTTTTTCTCTGCAATTGCAACCTCAATTCAGCTGCTTGGTTATGTCTTACTGAATTCCCAATAATAATAATAATCCTTGCATCTGATATAGTGCCTTATCACGTCGTTGAGACATCTCAAAACGCTTCACAGAATACACTGCAAAGTGGATTGACTGTGTATTTTGTGGGTGAAATAAGATACACCGAAATGGTTAATAAAGCATTTTACAAGGACCAGGAGAGGCATTTTAATAGTGTTGCCATGAAGGAGGCTGAATAAGGCAAATAAATAATTACACTGTGTTTTAAATTGGGAGAAGAATCAGACAGGAGACATAAATTCCTGTAACCAGCATCTCATGCTTAACCTTGGGATTGGAACGGTTGCACAATCGCTCCTGCGCGTTCCACTTGTTCGTGAACTAAAGATGAAAAAAATGTTATTGGTCATTTTTCAATTTTTTAAGAACCAGAACTTAAAGAAATTGCAGCTAGTTGCACTCTCAGTCATCTCTGATACTGCCTGTTCACCGTCACATCCCCTCCCATGTGCTTCTGAAGTCACAAGAGTTGCAGTGCTTCTGCTTCTCATTTTAACTGTTAACTGTTGACCTTTCCTGACCCTTTTGTAAAAAAAACACCATGTTTCATTGATACTACACACATTAAATCATGTGCAATTCATGTGGCATTTTTGTGATCATGGTTATAATACTTACATTACATTCAACCAAAGCAAGTTTGCTCTCATCCAGGACTTGATGTCTCACAGACATTCTGTCAGGACAGCAGTGGTCCTGGAGTTGAGGGTGGAGGCAGAGAGATAGAGTTGGGTGTCATCTGCATACATGTGGAAGTTGACCCCATGTCTGCGGATGATGTCACCAAGAGGGAACATGTAGATATTGAAGAGGAGGGGACCAAGGACAGAGCCCTGAGGAACACTACATAAGACAGTGTGTGGCCTGGAGGAGAAACTGTTTGTGGAGATGATGTGGAGGTGGTGTGAGAGGTACAATCCGAACCAGTCAAGGACAGAGCCGTGAAGGTTGAGGTGAGAGGAGAGGAGGTGGATGAGGATAGAGTGGTCGACGGTATCAGCCTCGTAAGGTGAGATAAAAAGCAAAGGAAACCAATTAAACCCAATAGTTGTATTCCTATTTTGGAGAATTAATTGTAAAAAAAGACAAAATAAAGATAATATTTTCACTTTGCAACAATCCCCAAGAATTTACTCTGAAATCTGAGATTCAGAATTCCAAGTGAGATTACAAACTGGATTTGTGCTAAAGGTTACAGTGTCACTTTATACTAAAGAGCTTGCTTTAGAGTTTCATCCCGTTCATAAGATTCAGACACATTTCACTATTCACAATAAACAGAATAAAACTCCAATATGAGACTTGGTATAATTATTTCACCCACAAAACATACAGTCAGTTCACTTTACAGAATACTCTGTGAACGCTTTGTGACGTCTCGAAGATGCAATAAGACGCTGTATCAAATGCGAGGATTATTATTATTTCTTTGGTGCATAAAACTTATTATTTAGCTTTTAACGTTTTGTGTGAGGGCTTTTTCGTAGCTCATGCACTCCTCTTATCTCCCTATTTTCTATCCGCACAAGTTGTACTGGTACATATACAGATCCACTGCCAATACTTCTCTTGGCTGGTTGCCAAGACTCACTCAACCACTGCCATATCCAACATTCCAGCTTCCTTATGCACAGGTACTTTGTCTCTGTCCAGTGCCTCCTCACAGCAGTGGGGCTAATAATGTTAACATAACGGATTGTCGTTGTCAGCCACCGTTCTATTTTGAAAGTGACATTTTTGCGATAATTTATCAAGGCAATGCAATAAAGAACGATATCTTAGGAAGGTTTTTGAGCATGTGAATAGGGATTCGATAAACTGAAACAAAATACTTACGTGGTTATCTGATTAAAGTATTAAACTTACAATGTAAATTAAATTATTGGAAGCACTGATTATGGACCACAGTGCTCACAAGATGGTGACAGGTTCATGCTAAGAATGCCATTTTTTGCCAATTTCATCAATTTCATAATCCTTACCCCACAGTCCTCTTAGCACAACATCAAGCTGTTTCTTAAATGGCAGTTCTGGAGTTCCAGCAGTCCTTATAGCACAACTTGTCCCTTCATGGTACACTTCAGCTCCACTGTCAATTGAGTAGAGGAAAAATTAAATGGATTGCACTATTTCAGTCCACTTCTCAACAGTAGCCCACAGAGAAAAGCTAGCAGAAGCTTTAATGCAAGGAAAGGAAAGATTTGTGTTTGTGGGATGAGTTAAAGATGCCCAAAAATGTGCATACATTTTATCTTTTATTTCATTTTTTCTGAATCCTTAAGTTCACCAATAAAATAGAACACCGGCAGGGTGAAACCTTGAATAAGTTTCCTTACTCCACACGCCAGATAATAATCCCTCAAGAAAAAAACAATAATAAATTGGTCACTTCAATCCACGACTGTTTGTGGGACACTGCTGTACACAATTGGCTGCCGCTTTTCGTCCAACAAATATACAGTCAATTCACTTTACAGTATATTCTGTGAAGCGCTTTGAGACTTTTAGAAGACGTGAAAAATGCTATATCAAAAATGCAAGGACTATTAGATTTATCCATAAGACATAATCCATGAGCAAGTGAGACCTGATAATTTGCTAATTCCCGTAGTGTTTGGAACAAGGGTTACTGAGAAAAAACTGACTTAAATTGAGGAAATGAACCCAATGCCTGTTTGTTTTTGCAAAATCAATTTTGTGATAAAGCACACATGACCATTCTGCAGTAAAAACGTGCATCTCAGGTTTCAGTACATTTGGAAACAAGAAGTGAACATTGTCAAGCAATGGTATCTTGTGATGGATTACTTGTTTACTCAACCCAGAAACTGTAAACATAGGGTAATGGGGATCGAGATTACGTTAGACTCACATGATCAGCAAT